ACGATGATCTGCTCGTAACATCTGACAAGGAAGGATACCCCACAAACACATGTGGTCTCCTTAAACCAGTGCATTAACGGGATTTCGGGATAGCGGACAAGACTGGACTTCCCTCTGTATCAAGGGCTCCCCCTCTATCGAGGGGGTATGCTAGACTCTGAATCCGAAACCGCTTCTCTCAACCTTGTGTTGAGCCCCAAACAGAATCTCCGGCCAAGCTGCTTCCGAACAGGGCTGCATGCGCTGCCTTCTGAGCGCTGCCAGAGTGCTTTCTGCGCATCTTCGAAAGTGGAGTGCGCTCTGACCTAACATCAAGTCTCCAGCAGCTTGTCTGTATCCGTTCCGTTTCAATAGCAGACTATGTTGTGTATCATCTCGCATATTTGAACCACGAGACAGAACTTTACCGGATAGCGTTCTGTTCGATTGTCGGACAAGGATGTCAAAAGGATGTTAAGCAAGGGTGGTATCAATCAGCAGGGATATCAAGAGGGCTGGAGCATTCGCAGTTGCTGTTCAGAGCAGCGGAGTTTTTGCGGAAAACTGTGAACCACCTTTCCTGCACAAGCAAACACATCAAACAAGAAGAGGCTAGCTGACATGTCGATATCCAGCAAATCGCTTGACATCCAGATCCAGATTGAGTGATCAGTGAATCTTCGGCGGTCGCATTGTGCTTGCGTAGACAGATTGTGCCTGCTGCATTTTCCTTCAGCCCTGCCCATTGAGCAAGCGAAATGCTGCATTGTCGCGCTTTTTCCGGCTGATTGCATGCATCACAGCTTCTTGCTGGACTCCCAACGCCCAGGCAATCCTGAGTTGCACCCTTAGCATCCCTAAAAGAAACGCTTGGAGGTCAGTGAGTAGCACGTTTGGGATTGGCGCTGGCGTGCCAGGCCACCGTTGTACTCTTGCTGCTGACTTCTCGAGCAACTAGCCATTACTATGTCAGCAACCCACATCCAAAGGCGAATACTCTCGCAACACCCCCCCATGCACTTGGCAAAGTCAAGCTGGCAGAAAGCAATCTGGGTGTCTCATGATGTTGCTTGGAGGTTGATGCCTACCTCCACGAACAGAAGTCAGGCGTGGTGGAGGTCAGCCGGCTTTTGCTTGGAAGGCAAGGCATCACTCTCATCAAGCTCCCTTCGTCGTTTGTTTGGTGTCCAGCCTTGCCCAGCGCTGTGGCTTTTAAATCGGTCGGCATTCCTATCTGCTCGAGAGGAACGCAAGCACTTGGCTAGTTCACGCATCTCCGTGGACGAGCGAAACGACTCTGCAGCTGCCTCCTTGGCACTTGGCTCTGTCGTTCCCTGGCCCTCTCCTAGGACCCGGTCTTTGAGATCATCAAGCTGGATCCGAAGCTTGGCGTTGAAGGTATCGGGCCCATGCCGTTCAATAGAATACGTCACGTCGTCCTTCTGTAGCGGGCCCCGTTTCAGACGCTGCGCAAAGTCGAAGACAGTATCTGTTGCTTTCTTCGTCCAATAAGACGGAAATACCCTCTCCAGTTGTTTTTCTCCCAAGATTGGTTTCTCAGTCGTCCGAGGCTCTCGACGATGCAGAAGCCGCTGTGCTTTCTTGGCTGGATATTGCACGTACCCGTCGACGTCAGCGGACCGTTGCAAGCTTGAGGGCTGCGAACTTGAAGTCGTCCTGTAGGCGCTGGACTCCTGGCTTAAATGCTGGCTGCCGTGTCCACCAGTGGCCATGGGCGTGGCTGCTTTGGAGCGAAAACTTTCCGTCACGCCCTCCTACAGTGTATAGTCTACGATTAAAACCAAGAACCCGAAGCTCCTGCCTTACTACCTCTGAACCCCACAACACTACAAATTCTCTGATAAGCCCTATGATCCCTGTAGGCGCGGGCTGGGAGTTCAGGTTTCGAGTTCTTTCATGTCCTGTGAAGACCCATTAAACCCCACCCCTAAACCTACGCTGTGGCCTTAAGCCTGAAGGAGATGCCTTGGGTTTGAGGGTTTTAGGGCAGAGTTCTCGAGGCGAAGGACGAAGGCGGGAAAAGTTCTAATGCCACAACCTCAGAAGCTGGGAAGCCTTGGAGTTTCGACCCTCCCTTGAAAGTTCAGGTTTTATGAATGATACTGCGGGCGAGTTTTCTAGATGTTAAGAGTCGTCCTACCGGGATTCAGTCTTTGGGTTTATGGTGGGTCTGTAGCCCCTGAAACCCTAAACCCGAAACGTCAAGCCCATGAACTTCACAGCCTGAACTCCAAACCCAACGCTTCACGTAGAGAATTACCTAATTGCTCAGATCGCCGAGCCCCCGAATCAAGGCATACTTCTTGGTACAAAAGGCATGTATGAACCCCAAGAAATGTGAAGTGTACCTTATTTGTCAAGGATTCCCATTAATTCTAGGAATCTCTACATAGGAACCTCAGAAAGTAGAACAAGGTTTCCGGGTAGTTGTACTAGGTTCAGGATGGGGACTTGCACCCTCCAAACCTCTAAGCCCTAAAAACCCCACGCACTAAAGACCCAATGCCTGTAGGACTCCGAAAAACCGAGAACCCGAGCTACTAATAGTAACGACAGCGACCAGTCTGATGTGAGCAGTTTCATCTTGACACTTGTAATTTATCCATCTAGACCCTAAGCAAAATCCCTAAACCCTTACCCAAGCGCCAAACCGTGAACCATGTATCTCGCCAGGCTGCTGGCGGCCGAAGCATGGCCAGCAATCCAAGAGGCCAATAGCGCTTGCCCCTACACCACAAACTGTTGTGCTTGAAACACCCGCAATTCAGAAGGGCTCAAAAAGTCCACCCACTCTCAGGGACAAGAAGGGCTCTATTAACGGTACCAGGTGGTCCTGTCCCATAGACCGCCCAAGCCGAAAATAAAATAATGAACAAGCTTGCGGCTTGCATTTTCTTGCGTAGCTTTCCGAGGTACCGAACCCTAGGGTAATGTAAGGGCCTTTATAATTGATCAGGTTCGGGTTTTGGTGTGTAAGTATAGGGGGATCATAGCGGGATCTCATTCCTAACTCCTAACTGTTGAAACCTCTACGGTAGCAAGGGGGCATGTTGCAGTATACTCTCCAAGCCTTCTCCATGAAACCCCCATGAGTCACCGACAAGTCGGATGTATGCTCAAGACTACTGCAGTACAGGTCTGTCGCGTCTGACTTTATGTGGACTTCAGGTGTCTACAGCGCTGACTTTCAAGAGAAGCCTGCTCCCATTGCATCAGCCAAGACATGCCGGCGGTTGAGAAGTTAGAGATTACCGGACGTGGGTAGTTCTTGCCAGGGTTGCAAGTCAGGCAACTACAGCTATTGCTAACTGCGAACCCACGCAACGTATGTGGAAACCTACCTCCAAATACCCGTGAACCTTCAAGTCAGATAACAAGCACTTTGGGCAGGAATGGCCAAGCCGAGCGGACTAACGGATCTGGCAAGTCCCATCCAGTCACACCGCCTTCACGCACAGAAATTGGAACTTAGTAGTTTTCACGAGAATTGTAATTTATGCTGTTTGATATATACCTCAGATTAAGAAATGTCATATCTCATAGATGTCTTCTATAGATACCTTTTACCATTCAAGTTTTTATAACCTCAATAGAAGGATTTAGAAAGATCATGTGTTAAATGCACTCCTCATAACAAGATGCACGAACGAATTCTTTCCTGAAGACACCAAGATAATAAAAACACGTCGAAGATCATCCGTTGGAGAAGAAATGAAACACACTATGTGTTCGTGTTTTCCAGGAGAGAAAGACCTCTACCATTTTCCCCGATTGGGAGACAAGACAAATATTGGGAGAGACAAGACATATGAATCTATCATCATCAAGAGAAAGCGTCTCGGAGAAGAAAGGAGAGAAGGAATCTTGTGGTCTTAATTGAACCAGAATACTAGATGCTTGCTATGCCCCAATAAAACTAAACGCTTTCTAAGTAGTCTAACTTATCGATGATCAACACTGAATTCAACATTTCCAGATATTCACTGTTCACGTCTAGGACTGGCATCATGCCTCGTCGTATCTACCTATATCTGATTTCTTAGTAAACTTATGCTCACTGTTTTCAACAAATGTGGAGCCATCTGCGCAGCAGTTTTTGCATCGCAGGTGGCCGTTGTCGCTTCACTGATCAGCTGCAAAATACTTCGCCTGGCAGATTAAGCCCTGCACCGAAGAGTGCCTATGCTTCAACACCGGTTGGTCTTGAACAGCGTTTTTGATGCATCACAAACCCTTTACGGCTAGGGAATTGGTTGAGGCTGCTGCTTCGTCTCACCTGTTTGAGCCCTCCATCAGAAGAGTTGTAACAAGTGAGCGGTCGGCTGGGCTGCGTGCTCTCGCAGGTACTAGTACCGCAATTAATGCATCAGCTGGGGGCCCGGCATGGCTGCGAGTGGTCAGCGGTGAGCTGGCTCGCGGCTTCTGCACAAATTGGGTGCAAGCTGCAAGTCTCCCTGCAACTTCTCAGCAAAGTGAATCACAGTTCGGTAGAGCGATTGCAGCAAAATGAAGTAGTGTTCGAGATCTTGGTTACAGCAATTCTCAGGTTGTTGTATGCCATCTGCACGAAGTTGGCACGAAGCAGTCAGTGCCGCGAAAACCGAAACTGCCCTACCCTCTCTGGAGACAGTTAGCATGACAACGAGGGATCCTTGCTGTAAGGGTCTTTGAAGTTCCCCAGCACCAGCATCATGCACCAACTATGAACCGAAATCAGCGGACATGCTTTTGCAATCTTTTGCAACAGTGGTCCTGGCAGTGTGCCCTTTCCTCGCTGTCCCCCAGGTTGCCGATGATGATCTCGGAGGAGGAGCGAAAGAGCCCTGTCAGGCCAGAACACTGGGACACAAACAGGCTGCAGAACACTCTGTGAGGCAGAAGGCCGCCGGGCTTTGTGCTTACTGGTGCAAAGCTCTGCTGCCTCTTTGAGTGATGGTGGATGCCGTGGGTTCCCTGTCTTGTTCTCCGTTCCGTGAACCCAGGTCCCAAAACTCGTGGCTTCGTGGTGGCTGGCCTTGAGGACGCCGTGGCTCGACTGCCTGTGCGTTCCACCTCTGGCGCTTGAAGCAACAAGAGCATGCGTGGGAGATAGACAAGCATCCCGCTCCAGGATAATTTCGGAGGGTCGGGCCGCTTGAAGTTGCTATCCGAAGTGGTCTACAAGCGGACAAGCAGTGGAAGCAGTGACAGCTTCAAGAAAAAAGTAGTGACCCATGCCGGGCTCCAGGCTGAGTAGTGGCTATGATTCGCCTGCTCATCAAGGAGGCTGATGTTTCGGGGCTCCGAATCCGATGACGAGAGTTCCGGTCTTTTGCTGAGGTTGCCGGTAGCGTCGGGCGTTTTGTTTCACATGTACTATGACCATGACAATGTCGAGCCAGCAGGACAGACACCAAAGCTAGAGCGCCCCCACAATTGACCCGTTGCATATTCTGCACATCTGGCCTTCCAGAACTTGTCCCAAGCAGAATCGAAGCTCAAGAACCGAGCCGGCGAGCCGGAGCGAGCTGGAGTTGACGGGCCTGGGGGGTTCGCCCCACGTGAAGCTGCCGCTGGTCACAGGCATCGGCATCTGAGACATCGGCAGTGGGCTTCGTTGGGTTTGAACTGCAAGTACTTAAAGCCCAGGTCCCAACGCGACAAAGGATCCTGATCCGAAGCGGAAGCAAGCACGCCCTGCAAGGGGAAATTGTGTCCCCAACAACACACCAGCCCAAGAAGGCCTGTCCCTCTCCGTGCCTTCGCCACCCCGGGGCCCCATGGAAGCGGCGAGAAGCTGCCTGAATTGGCAAGGCTTGACTTAAAGCACCGACAGGACGAAACCACCTCGTGCTAGTGGCGTCAGCTTCACGTGTGAAGGCGACCTGATACGAATTTAGTACACAAATCATCATCGCGCCAACCGAGTCGACCGGTCCCCGAAAACCTACGTCAATTTCGTCGTACCTGGCCACCGTGCGACGAAGGGCGCTGCTGGAACGCGCATTGAGCCAGTCATCCCTAGCAAGGGTGGTGGCTTGAACGACCTACCTAGGGATGAAGCCCTTGACGGCTACGGCCAAGCCACCATCTGCAAGGTCGGGACACTCAGCCATGAATGATAATTACTGCGACGTGTATCGGGTGGGGGGAAGAGGTGGTTGGGATGCTTTGCATTGTCGCTTGCGGAGTCATGTGGGACTCCAGAATCTTGCTACTGCCGCACACAGGGGAGAAGAAGCAAACAGGAGGTCGAGAGATCGCAGCCGAATCTCGCATTCTGATCGATCAAAAAACACAACAAAAACTTTGGAGTACGACCGGATAAGCCAAGGGGATGGCGGATATGCTGTAGGACGTATGTGTTTCGTCGGGAGGCTTAGGGTGAATTTGGGGGGAGTGCAAAGAGTTTTGAAACGGTGAGGTGGCTTGGGGACGGGGCTGTTCTTGATAATCATCCTCAGCTCTTCCTTTCGACAAGCTCGCAGCACCCAAAACGATGAACCTGAAATCCCGCAGCCCAAACAAATCCTGAACACTAAATCAGTATCAATCCATCCTTCAGCTGCCTGGGGCGGTCCACACAGCTGGAGTGAAGGACAACGGTGCCTTCTGCTGTCGAAGGCTCGTGTTCGGGATTGCCCTTTGTCTGGTGGAGTGAAGCCTTCGTGACTCTGGGCTTGCTTTCTCAGCGGAGCTCTCGATGTCTCGCTTGCCTGTATCTCGATGTTGT